TTCACCCTATTTTCTGGGGTGTTGGCTATTCCCGCCAGCTTGTTATTGTCTGAAAATTTGATGAGTTGTTCTTCTACCACCACCACCCCCCCCATCTAAATTGTTTATGAAGATATTGCAAAGTACTACAGCAACAAAGATGATTAGGGGACTGGAAGCTAAAACATATAAAGAATGGTTGCAGGAACTGGGTATGTCTAGTTTAATGAAAAGAAGGACATGATAGTAGTGTTCCAATATCTCAGGGGTTGCCACAAACAAGAGTGAGTCAAGCTATTCTCCAAAGCACCTGAGGGCAGGACAAGATGCAATGGGTGGAAACTAATCAAGGAGAGAAGCAACCTAGAACTAAGAAGAAATTTTCTGAGTTAGTTCTAATTAATCAGTGAATAAAGCACGATGTGGTTGTACCCAAATAGTGAGAAAAATCGAGATTGACGCCAGGGCATACGTATTTAAAATAAATAAGTTGAAGAACAAAGTTAAAGATGATGAGTTCNGGGGATTATGCAAAGCTCCAGGGACAGCTCATTCCAGAGGGAAGGTGCTCCCACAGAGAAGGGTCTCTCCCTGGGGGTCGCTAGCCGACACTATCTGGCCGCCGGCATCCTGAGGAGGCCAACTCTGTGGGATCGCACTGGATGGTTCAAGGCAGTCATGTGACTGGGTGGGAGTTGCTTGGCGGTCATGTGACTGGGTAGGAGTGGCTGTCAATGTCACTGAATTCAATGCCCCAATGAATGACCTACAAAAGAAGATATAAAAACGTAAATTTATTATTTTGTGCACTTACTACTTAAATAAGAATAAAACAAATACACAAACAGCTACTTACAGAGGAAATATGATTGTCTTGCCAGTCTTCAACACCACTAACTGACCCCCTTGCTCCAATGAATGGCCTGCACAAAGGAGACACAAAAAGGAACTCTTCAATTGCATGCATTACATTAGGATGAAACCAGCATACAAAACAATAAAACAGCTACTTACAGAGAAAAGATGATTGTCCTGTTGGACTTCAACACCACCAACTGACCACCTTGCTCCAATGACCTGAACAAAGACGAGACATAGAAAGGAAGGCTTTAATTGCATGCACTTACACCTTACATAAGAATAACACAATGAAAGAGATACACCCAAGTACTTATTTGTGTTATTGGTTTTGTGGTGGAAGATGTTTCCACATTGTTCTTTCGTTTCCAGCCTTCTCAGTTGCACTTCCCTTGCGCTTCACTCGTGGATCATCAGCCATGTGATGATGTGCTCTGAGCCACTTTTTGACTGAAGTAATTGGGTCCCATCTTTTTACAGGCATGCCAATAACATTGTCAGGCCTGCAGTTATATTCCTTTTGGGATTTTTGGCCTGCCACACACTCTATTATTTTCCTATGCTGTTTCATTAGTGTAGTAATTAGGAGGGGGAATAGAAAGGAGTAGAATCGTGGAATGTGTTGTTGTCATTCCTTTCTAGAAGCCCAAGGTCATCTTTTGTCTCCGCACCTCTGCACCTGACCGGAACCAGCTGGGTGGAGATGC